GAAAGATTTAAGAAGGCTTAGAGTCGACAATTAAGGTATGGGGGAGTATTGCCTTCATTATTTTCAATGTATAATTTCAATGTATTTAAGGCCGATTTAAGGGTTTAAGGGTTTGAGGGTGATTATGAGATAAAAGGAATTTGACCTTCGTGGCCTAAATCTATTATTGAGATTTTAACCGTAGGGATTTATTTGGGTTAAAGGAAATTAGGCTTTCGTGGCCAAAGCTCTGATTTGACATTTGTCTAACCCTGTAGGGAAATTGGATAGTGAGAAACTCTAATGATTGCGGTGTAGGTGTAAGGATTTATGGGATTTAGGGCGTGAATATGATACGGGATTGGCCTAATAAGTCGTAGATTTAGTGCCTTAATCGCTGTAAGACCTTAGGGATGATTTAGGGATGTTTTTGGGTTATTGGGGAAGTGAATCGTGAGACTTTTGGGTTGATTTTGTGTTTTGGTGCATAACAACGTTTTGCTATCATCGTGTGTTCGCACAACGAAGAATCCTTCGCACAACAAACGAATTCATCCCAGAATCACACTGCAAAGAATCCTTTGCACAACGAAGAAACTTGCCCTAGACTCGCACAGCGAACTTGCTAGTGAACGTAGCAGAGTTTCGTGAATTCTAATTTTGTGCAGTGATGCCTTGATGTTTTGATGTTGTGACTTCTTTGACAAATTAATATGAGTATGACTATGAATTCTATGTGATTGGTACATGATTATATTATGATTCCTATGATGTAATGATCGATGAACTATGATGATATTTCCATGAGTTTAATGATTCTATGATGACATGATTTTTGATGATGATGATTATAATGAATGATGATGCACCTATGATGTTATTATAAGGATGAATATTGACGTGTGCATCATGCATTCATGTGCATCCGGACTTCGGTTCAGGACCTTGATTTCTTTGGCTTCAATCCCATTGTGCGGATGTGAGGTATTTTGATGTGCTTCGATTCTCGAGTAGAATCGATCCTATTGATGGAGATCTATGGAGGGTGGATGACCCAATGTCCATCGAGCTGTGATGATTGGTACCACATGCATTGAGTCTTGTTGCATTTGCATTTATGAGACGATCTTGAGTAAATTATGATGTTGTGGCCTTTGATGTTCCTTGATGAATATGATGATGTTGAATATGAAAATGACGCCATTTTATATGTTGATTTCCTACATTGATTATTATGAATCGTTTTACTCACCCTACTTATTTGAATATTGCCTCCACGTGGGTAACGTGCAGATGACCAAGTTTAACCGTGGATGTCGTCGAGGGCTTTTTGATGTTTTTGGGTCGTTGGCCATGGTGGTTAACTTAGAGGGCCATGCTCTGATAGTGTAACATCGGGTTAAGGTCTTCGAGTCGAACCTTATTTTATTTAATTTGGTTATTTTGATTATGTTCCCGTATAAGGAATACTTTGGATTATGCCTTTTGAGTTCCGCTGCAATATTTGATATCTTTTGAGAAAACCCGTTGTTTACGGAGCTTTGACTTATATTTGATTTATTGGGAAATGTACACCCTTTGAGGTGATTTTATTGAGTTTAATATTTTACTCTGATAAATGTGAATATTTTGCCTTTTATTTTGTGGGGTATAAAAGGGTGTTACACAAACCACCATAACAATTTTTCTCTCTTCTACTCACACAAAAAAAGTCTTCATGAACAAAATCAATCACCATGCACAACCTTGCAAATCTCATTCCTCTTTTCATTTTCATGTAACTACACCAACCATAAACCATCTTCATCTCTATTATGGTATATTAAAATAAAACTTGACATTTTCCTATTCATTATCTTCTACTCCCATAACCTTATACCTCACACTTCTACACATACCATAACCCTCTCTTGGATCTCCTCTACCACAAAAGCGAGTTGCATAAGTATTTTCTTTATAAGCACTATTCATACCGTCGAAAACGTACACGCCACCGCCAATATGGTATTCGTCTGATCTCCTTATTTATGGTTTTGTTTGATGCTTTTGAAGTTTACGCTTAAAATAGTCATGGTTGCTTTTGTTCTTTAAAAGAGAGAGACTTTTTTTGAAAACATAAGGAGATATAGTTGATTTTTATTAATATTGTGTTCATAAACTAGTGAGAGACGATAGAGGTACTGTTAAGGCGGGGGCACCGCCGCCGCTGGTGGTCGGCCGACCGCTTCTTGTACGTGTAGTCGTAGCATGTGCGAGAGAGAGAGAGAGAGAGAGAGAGAGAGAGAGAGAGAGAGAGAGAGAGAGAGAGAGAGAGAGAGAGAGAGAGAGAGAGAGAGAGAGAGAGAGAGAGAGAGAGAGAGAGAGAGAGAGAGAGAGAAAGAGAGAGAGAGAGAGCATGTTTTGATAAAGGAGAGTGAGAGCATCTTTTTTTCTTGGTTTCTATTTTTCTTAATTATTGAAATATATTTTCATTTTCCTTTTGAAAAAGTAAAACGTGCGATTTTGTTTTATTATCATTGAATTAGGCTTAGAAGATTGAAAATGATGCATTTCTTTTCTTTCATTTTTTTAATAATTATTTTATTTATTTAGTTAATTAGTTTTTTAATTAGAATTTAATTAGTTAGTTTTTATTAGATTTTAGAACTTAATTTCTTTTTAGATTTTAGAGCTTAATTAGTTAGTTTTTTTTATTAGAAGCTAGTCTAATTTAGTTATTTAAGTTTTAATTAGAAATTAGTTTAATTAGTTATTTTTTTAATTTGAATTTGTTAATTTGTTTTAATTAGATTTCATTTTAATTTCTTAACTAGTTTTTAATTAGATTTTGATTTAATTGGAATTTTGTTTATTTCTTTAGTTAGTTAGTGCCTAAATTAATCTTGACAATCCTCGATTCCATTGTGTTTAATTCTCGATGTTTAATTTTGAATTCGATTCTTGATACCTTTGAAGCTTTTGACTAAGTGTTGATCAATCATTGTTGCCTGTAGTTTGAGTTGGTCCTTGAGAAATTATTGATTAATTCTTGTCTTGTTGATTGGTTTACTCTTGGTGCTTGCTAATATTTTCCTGACATTATAATGTTGACCATGAGTTGTTTATGGTTGTTTGGTGTTCTCTTGTTCGATCTCGATTATGATCATTCATAAGTTGTTTATGATTATTCGTTCTTGGCTCTTTGTTGTTATAAGTTGCTTGTTCACATTCCAAAGGAAAGAATTCTCGTTGACTGCCATGTCATATTAGGATAGCCTTGTCCATGCTTCCCCCGAGACCTTGTAAGAGTCTTGTCTGTTGCAACCTAGTTTAGGTTTGGAGTCGCCACACTCCATGTAAGTGTCATGGTTATGAACACTTACTCTCCCCTTGGAACCTTGATCATTATCAAGAGTTCCTCACCGTAGTTAGGCCGAACTACGGAGGCTCTGATTTCTCTTTCCTAGTCAGGATACGTAGGCACAAGATGCGATATCTTGTTGATACCTCTAACCACTAACAACTAACACTTATCTCCCTCTTTTTGGCCTGGTTAGAACCAATTGGTCTTGCAACTTAGAATTAGGTTTAGAGTTGGTAAACTCTATGTGAGTATCATGGTTATGAGTACTCATTTTCTCCTTTAACTTTGGTTAAAGTCAATTTCTTTAGTTAGTTTTCAACTTAGATTTAGAGAGTTGATTAACTCTGTGTAGATATCATGGTTATGGATACTTACTCCCCTTTGAAACCTTGATCATTATCAAGAGCTCCTCATCCCTAGTTAAGTGAACTATTGTTGCTCTGATTCCATCCTAGTCAGGATACGTAGGCACGAAATGTGATGTCTTGGCGAGCATACTTAGTGTATATACTCTAGGTCTTTATCTTAGCACATTTTCCTTAGCAAGCAAACTATAGCATAACACAAATACTAACAAGAGGTTCCTATAGAGTACTACAGATACTTAGGATGCTAACACCTTCTCTAGGTATAACCAACACCCGAATTTTAGATCTCTTAGCCGTGTAGTTACATAACGCACTTAGGGTTTTCTTCGATCTTTACCCTTTCCTTTGGATAAATCAAAGCTCGGCGGTGAACTTCATGATTTCTGATTCAAGTTAATTAATAGCTTAATATCTGATTCTCACTGCAACAGAAATGATGACTTCACTAGGGATTCCTCTAAGAGGGTTAACCCACCTTGTTTATATTTGTGTTATCTTATTTGTTTGCTTGCTTGTATACCTACATATTTATAAATATATGTATATATATCTGTTGTGCTTGGGTTCTTCTGTATGCAGGGTTGTTACCTTGAGTGATGAAGATAAGTCTTGTACCCAGACTTGAGTACACCTATGATAGGAAGGTGGTTTATTCAAGAAGGCTTATAGGGAGTTGATTTCCGACCAAGTTAACTTGAGAAACCACCGCTCAGTGTAGACCTTATTGGGAGTAGTTTTGTTGAACGAGTATTCGTGAAAACATTACTACTTTCAACCTAGGAGCCCGTAACACTGAGAACCCACTACGCCAAAATTGATATTTTGTATCGCCTAATTTAATAGCGCTTTTAAAAAAAGTGCTATTAAAAAGGAGACAAACATATCTATAATAGCGTTTTATAATAAAGCGCTATTATAAAGTACAAAGAATATAATTTTGATAGCACTTTGTAAAAAAGCGCTATTATAAATCTTTACTAAGATAGCGCTTTTTGAAAAAGCGCTATTAAAATGTTGCACTAAAATAACACTTTTATAAAAGTGCTATTATTAAACTATCCTATGTTCACTACGATAGCGCTTTTTAAAAAAACGCTACTAAAATATTTAACATTAGACATTAAGATAGCGTTTTTAGAAAAACGCCATTAAAATATTTCACTAAAATATAAAATATTAAACTGTTAGCATTACTAAAATTAATTAATTAAAAGACAAATTCCTTTCCCATATGTATTTTTCGCCATATGCACCACCACAATCCATTTAACCTATCGTCGTCGAGCAGAAGAACTCTCTAGAGTGTAACAATGGCAACAACCTATCAGCAACCGACCATAATAGAAGAAGTCCGAACCCTATGGATTGGGGATTTACAATACTGGGTCAACGAAAACTACCTCACAAACTGTTTCTCCCACACCGGCGAAGTTATTTCCATCAAAATCATCCGCAACAAAATCACCGGTCAACCAGAAGGTTACGGTTTTGTCGAATTCGTTTCTCACGCGGCAGCGGAACGAGTTCTTCAAAGCTACAACGGAACTCAAATGCCAGGAACCGAACAAACCTTCCGGTTAAATTGGGCTTCGTTCGGTATCGATGAACGTCGTCCTGATGCCAATCCCGATCATTCGATTTTCGTTGGGGATCTCGCTCCTGATGTTACTGATTATCTTTTGCAAGAGACTTTTCGAACTCATTATAGTTCGGTTCGCGGTGCGAAGGTTGTGACTGACCCGAATACGGGACGTTCTAAGGGTTATGGTTTTGTTAAATTTGCTGATGAGAGTGAAAGGAATCGAGCTATGTCTGAAATGAATGGTGTTTATTGTTCTACGAGGCCGATGAGAATTAGTGCTGCTACGCCTAAGAAAACTACTGCTTATCCGCAGAATCCTTATGCTGTTGTTGCTGCAGCTGTTGTTGCTCCTGCACCTGCTTCTAAAGGTAGAACAAAACTTACCCTTTTATAATTAGGTTTGTTTTCGATAAAGAATTTGATTAAGAGCTTATGATGTTAGTGTTTATGTAATGTATATGTTATTTAGTTTTTCTTAATTAGCATAAGCTCAAATAAACCAATCACACATACCCTAGATGCAATATGCTTTTTACCTTCCTGACTACAAAACATTCAACAACTAGAGGAAAATAGATATAGATGGTCCAATATCTAATGAGTTGCTTAAATCAATTTTGTTAAATTGTATTATTATTATTATTGTTATTATTACTATTATTAGTTTATTTCTATTATTAGAAATTATTATTAGAAAGTATGCCTTAGTTTCTCTTCACACATTATTTTTATGAAGTTGCTTCTATTTTTAATATTTATTTTTATCTACTAAGTAAATTGTTTCATATCATTGAATTTGGTTTGGATAACTGTAGCTAAAGTAAAATTAGTTTAAAAAGAGGTGATTTTTTATGAGCATTGTATTCATATTCATAATCATAACGTATGTTTTGTTATTTGACTTTTCTTATGCGTTTTTTTTTGGGAATAGGCCTCTGGTGGAAAGAAGAAGATTGTAGGTGTTTTCTACAAAGGCAATGAGTATGCTGCATCGAATCCCAATTTTGTGGGATGTGTTGAAGGAGCATTAGGAAAGTGCTATCAAAATTAAACAAATTACCGGTATTATAATAGCGCTTTGTTTGAAAGCGCTATCAAATATGTGACTTATAATAGCGATTTTGGAAAAGCGCTATTAAATACAGGTACTATAATAGCGCTTTTAAAAAAACGCTATTAATTACCAGTACTATAATAGCGCTTTTAAAGCGCTATTAAAAATTTTGTTTTACAATAGCGCTTTAAAGCGCTATTAAAAAGCAAAAAAAGTGCTATTATAAAGCTTTTTTGTAGTAGTGACCTTTAGTTACATTTTTACCCCACTTTGGCCTTGTTAGGACGTAGTGCGATGACTATGAGGGAGTAGTCCCGAAATAGTTGATACGCAATACTGCACTCGGATGAGACTCTATTGAGAATATTATCGACTACCGAGTAATTTGGGAAATTGATAATATCTAAAAGATGGGTTGTTGACTCTGGGAACTTCTTAGAACCCTGTTCTACACATACAAGAACCCATAGTACATACCTTTTGGGATGGGTAGACCACGACTCTATGCTCGTGATCTTCAAACCTAGACCCTTGTTTGTTTGCCTGTATATATCGGTATATGCATAAATATGTGTATGCGTGTGTTTATGCATCCATCTATGAATTCCCACATTCATAGGTAAGCTTTTGGTTTCAAGGAATTCAAACAATTATTCCTTTGCAAAAAAAAATCAATTGAGATCATGGATTTTGAAGCGAAACTTTTTCCCAAAATGTTTGCAACTCCCTTGTGAGTTCCTTAAAACCATTCTGCTTGAATTTTCATTGCATGCACATGTTGTTGCATTTTCACTTGCATTTGCATTTCTCAGCCTTGAATCTCATCTATCCTTTGTCCATAACCCAGTTGACTTCCCGAAGCCAGCATTGGACTTGAAGTAGATTTTGGATGGATCATGATTTCATAAGAACATAACTAGTTTGTGACCAAAGTGGATTTTGAATTATTGAAAAGTCAGTTGGATAAGATAGTGGAAGCTATGACAACCTTGCCAAAGAGAGATGACCGTGTTCAGAGGACTTCTGTGAAGAATGTTGCTCAAAATCAGCCTGTGCAGACTCCTGTTGGGAATCAGATTATAAAGAACATACCATTGTCCAAGATGGACATTCCTCTTCTCTCGATGATACAGACTATCAAACTTTTGTATTTCCGGTACCATATTCTCAAGAGGCAATCCCTGTGATGGAGTCCAAGGACCCACGATACGTTGAGATTATGGAAAAGTGTCGTGCGTTGGAAAAGAAACTTGATATCATTAAGGGTTGTGATTCTGCAGATCTAAATGCTTTGAACATGTATTTGGTACCCGACCCTAGTTGCACCCCAAAATTTGCCCAACCCTTTTTCTTTAACTGGCTTTTGTTTCACTGCATTCATATAGCCTTAGCATCGCATTCATTGCATTTACATTGCATACCATCATCCATTTACAGGGGATCAAAGGGGTGTGATCATCAATAAGAGGTTATCAAGTTCTAAGCCTAATCGAGGGGTTATATTCAAGCTATGCAAGAGCTTATCACCATCAGAAAAGTCAAAGAGTTGTATGTGGTTCACCTCCTATCTTGGATCGAAACTGACTCCCAATAAAGGATTCCTCTTACAGTGTTGTATTAATGTTGACATGTTGATGAATGATTTCATACACTTTATGTCACAAATTTTTTTCCAGTGAACAGATTGGAATTTCAAAACTGTCATATGCATTGCATTTGATATGTCTTTTATGCAGAACAACCTGTTTTACCAACGAGTAAGCGCTTGACAGCGGGAAATTTTCCACAGTGGAAAGTCTGATCAGAACATAATGCAGAACGCCAGAATATTCCGGTGAACCGGGGCAAGCTTTGTCAAATGATCACAACATGAGGGTCAGCCATCCAGAAGACAGCTAATCTGAAGCAGTCAGGTCGAGATTCTGTGAATCTCTCGAGGACAACCAGGGTATTTCCCCACAGATTAGCCAATCCGAGGCAGAGTCGTTGCAAGACAGGGGCAGGCCACCCTAATAGTGCAAAAGTTATTTCTTGCCCGTGGGGCAATTAATGTGAAGCACCTCTTCGAGGTTAAAGATATTGAGGTAGATCAGGGTGCAGAGGTTGCAGATTTCCTTTCAAGGAACATCCCCACGGAGATCCCACAGGCTGAAAAAAAACTGAAAGCGAAGGAGCCGTTCCTCTTCGTATTGGCAGAGATTATCAGAAGTCGTTATAGATTCTGGGGCAAGCCATCGTGAGTTTGTTTCATGGCATGTTTTTCCAAGCAGGATGATTCCTTCTTCCCCAGCAGGTTTAATTATGTTTCCCCACGGAGTCTGAACAGGGAGCTATGGGCATTAATGTGTCTTCCCAAACGGAGATAGATTCTCCCCAACCAGATGTATTCTAAGAAGGATCATCGTATCCCCAGCTGAGTCAGGCGCAGAGGTGTATACTCATTCCCAGCAGTGGGTCAACATGAAGTTTTCTCGTAGAAGATTATCCGCAAGTGCTTAGCTCTCGATAGTTTAGACTGAAATCTCCAGCAGAGTTATAGGTTCAAGATGATTCTTGAGATCCCCAGCAGAAGTCGGTCTCATCTTTCCAGCATTTATTTTTTTGGAATAATTCTGTGATATCCGGTTATCCCCAGCGGAGTTGGCTTCACCTTTTCAGCATTTATTTTGCTGGAATGGTCCTTCTGTGTACATCTTTTCTCCAGCAGCTCGAGCCTGTATTTTGCATCTTTGCATATATCATCATATTTGCATCTTATTTGCATTTCATCCTCAAATGCGTAGCATTTCCATAGTGTGGAGCATTACGCTATAGAAAAATTCAAACATACGCATATGCATACGAAGCATAAACCAGTTTGTTATCAGCCTCCTGTGGCAACGTGAATCACCCTGCGGTCGATACATGGGCATTTATCCAGCATTTGCGTTCAGGCAGCTCATCAGCTTACTTTCTCTCGGGTTTCAGATCATACAACGGTGATGTTTTGTTCAGCAGTCCTCTGATGATGACATCCCCGAGCAGAGTTCCTTTGTCCATCAGTCCTCTGATGTCGACCGATTCTCTTACTGTTAATCTCTATTAACGATGTGTATCTCCGAGCAGATTCTTTTACCGTTAATCTCTATTAACGATGTGTTCCCCCAGCAAGTCTTCTTACCGTCTACTTTTAGACGACGTGAGTTGTGAATACGATCTTCCGTGTTTGATCAGCATCCAATGATTTGGATTTTGGATATTATTTTCTCTCCGTCTATCCTTGGACGATGCGAGATATCAAGACGAATTTCAGATATGGTTTACTCTCCGTCTATCCTTAGACGATATGAGTGTCGGATGTGGTTTTCTTTCAGTTTATTGGATGAGATATTGTTCTAAGAAGGTTTTCGTGCCGTCAATTCCTATTGATGTCGTGGCTCTCTGAAGAATGTTTGATTTCCTTGTTGTTGATTCCTATTGACGACATGGCTCTTTGAAGATGATTCTCTTACTATCGATTCCTATCAACAGTATGACCCTTCGAATATATTTCCTCTTCATCAAATCTTATGGACGAAAGGATTTAGAAGTTTGCTGAATAGTTGCGAAGCTCGTTGACATAATCATTGATTTGATCTTTCTTCCCGCCGATTCCTATTGACGATGTGGTTCTTCGGACAATTTCTTATTTCCGTCTAATTTTAGACGATGTGAGTATCAGAGTTGATCCTGTTTACCCTCAGATGATGTGAGCGTGGTGACCTTCTTCCCGTCTACTTTTAGACGACGTGAGTATTAGAGTCTTTCCGTCTACTTTTAGACGACGTGAGTATTGGATGTCTACCCTCAGATGATATGAGCGTGGTGGTTTTCTTTCTGTCTATCCTTAGACGATGTGAACGCATGGTGCCTTCCCGTCTACTTTTAGACGACGTGAGTATTGTTTCTCTTTCTGATGAAGGGAAAGGATCAAGTGCATGTTGATCTCGTTTTCAGAAGTGACTTCCCGTCTACTTTTAGACGATGTGAGTATTATTTCTCTTTCTGATGAAGGGAAAGGATCAAGTGCATGTTGATCCGACCTGTGGGTTCAATATCTGTGGCATTACACAGATGATTGACAATGAGGGCAGGTATTCTGTATCTGATGAGCAGTAAGGTGGTTGCCGTGCAACTGTCTATATTCAGTTTTCTGGATGTTCGTTCCCAATCGGTTTTGCAGTTTATTTCTGCAGGTTGGCAAATTCCGGGTTTCTTTGGTATTCAACCGTCTTCTACCTTGATTGTTTGAGAGCCGTTCGCTTCTCACCCAGTCAGGTCCAAGCCGTTTGAATAGGGGCAGCTGTTGCACCCCAAAATTT